TAGGACCAGACTAGGCTGGCACCCCAGTAGTGTTTCCATAGCTATAACAAAGGATATTTTGCCTTGATCCCTGAGTGACAGCACTTCACTGGGTTTTAGGGAGCCTATTCTTCTATTATTTATTTTTTTTCTTAATTACTGAGCACCAGGGAAACAAGGATGACTGAAAATTGTATCTAAGTAAAAGTCAGTATTGATTTATCTAAGACTTCATTTTTACTCTTGAAAGGCTCCTAGCTTGATGCCGAGGAAGCTTGCAGCTACCATCCCTTCCATAGGATACTACTCACCACTACAAGGGCAGCTGACAACTACTTGGCTCCCCAGCACACTCTCCTACATCCCCCACCACTTGGAGTTGCTGCCCTTACCAAAACCATACTTGTTCTTCAACGTCCTCCCTGCCTACAGTGCACCACGCTCCCACAAGATAGAACAGAGCAGTATCTCTACATAGACAAGGATGTGGAGGAGCAGGGGACTTGGGGAGCATGCCTTTATCATCCATGACAGTTTGCAGGAGGCAGGTGCTCTCCTCAAGCAAGTGTGCTGAGATGATAAATGGCATGAAGTCAGCTTCATGAGTACCAAACACAAGAAGCTGCAGTCTAGTGAACATTAACAAGAGCCACCATGGACTGGGGAAGGAGATCCGTGTTGATCAGAGGAGCAGCATGTTCTGCAGAAACCAAGCCGTTCAACCAAGAGCATCTCCCTGGAGGGACAGCGCATCGAACTGAATGGCCCTGCAAAAGAACTTGACTTTTACTCGGCCCTGAGATAACACCACATGACTCAATTGCACCGATGCCTTGGAGAAGGAAATATACCTACATACCTAGGAGTATGTAGCCCCAAAGTCGGGCCAAACAAGATTTTCCTCCATAGTTGCTTTCCTTGGACATGCTGGTCTTTACTTGGGGAGGAGCAAAGAACATGTTTAGGTCAAAATATCAGACTTTCAAGATACTTCTGTTTTCCAAATCATTTGGGAGGGAAGGGAGTTGGTTTGGTTTAATGGATGTGCTTTTGACTTGAATAAAGGGACAGGAACATGATTTGAGCTTAAATACAACAGTCTGAGAGGGGCAGCAGGGCTGAGCTCTGGATTTGGTACTGTGAGTCTCTGGGGGCAAGAGAATTCTTCAGTTGGTTAATTAAAATGCTTATGAAGAAGCCTCTCAATTTTTGACCTGAATTAAGAAAGCTCTAAAACTCCATTAGAAACAATAACAAAGAGACGGCCTAACTGAGTTTAATCTACTAGACATAATAGGATGTTATGACCCCACAGTTTGGCTTAATTGTAGATCAATAATGAGATCGGCCTGCCCATTTACAAAATGTCTATATGCCCTATTATTTGCATAATAGTAATCTTTTTCCAACATATGGCTTTTTTGCTGCTTGTCGAGGGTCCAGTGCTCCTTCTGCTGATGTCTCCACTGACTCATGGGAAACACTATTGGAAGCACTGTTTAAAGGGTTGCATCATTTTCTGTTTTGCAGCCACAACACACGTTGTACACCAATAGGGGAAACTGCTGAGCAAAGGCATTAAAATGTGGTCTCTCTCCCAGGCATATGACTTGTTTAAGGCCAGTTTGGATGGGGCTCTGGGCAGCCTGATTTAACACTTGATCTAGTGCCTGGTAACCCTGCCCATGGCAGTGGGGTTTAAACTTGATGATCTCTGAGGTCCCTTCCAACCCAAGCCATTTTAAGATTCTATGATTCTATAACAGATTAGAGTTACAGACTCCCTGCATCCTGGAAGGCTGTTGCTCAATCTCGTGGATCAGGTCATGTTAACCTAAGGACAGCTGAGAAATGAGTGACAGGAGAGTCCCATCTAATCCTGGCCCAAGACAAAAATGAAGCATTACTTATCATTACTTATCATAGATATTTAGAGGTTTTACTTCAAATGACAAGGCTATGCAACCTACTTCACAAATACTCTTTGCAATCCCTCACAAAACCCCTTATAACCTTCACAGCTCCTCTCCTATGCTTATGGCCCTGATTTCCATTTTCACACTGTCTTGTCTCAATGAGCCAAGCCACCAATATCAGATAAATTAGCCCTCTTCAGCACAAGGAAGACAATCCTGTCAATGATATTTGCACACTGTAGACATCTCTGAGCCTTCAGACTGCCCTGGCTTAGTTCACCTAGCTATCTTGTGTCCTTAATCTTTCCATGCAAATCCTTCAGGGTCATAGGTATTGAGGGCAAGATTCTCAACTGGATCAAAAACAATTAGATGGATGACCAAGGTCCGAGAACCGACGTAAATTAGCACCAATCAAGAAGGTGGAGACTGGGTCAAAGTCCAAAGAAGTTGGTGAATATGCATCAGGGAGAAGGGAATGGGGAGAGCAGAGAGTTGGCGGGATCAGGATCAGCTTTGTTCGCATATCAGCTAATAGGGAGAGGTGGCTCTGGAGGGGAAGAAGACACAGCTGTGCAGGAGGAAATTTGAAAACCACATAGAAACTGGACTATGAGGCTGCCCAACTCCTATTTAGACTATTTAATGTGGAGAACTGGCTATGTATGAGACTGAAATTGACATAACTGGGCAGGGCAAGGAGAAACATGCAGAGATTGCTCTTTTGATAAAAAGCTAATTTTGTTGCGCTCTCTTCTCTTCTCTTCTCTTCTCTTCTCTTCTCTTCTCTTCTCTTCTCTTCTCTTCTCTTCTCTTCTCTTCTCTTCTCTTCTCTTCTCTTCTCTTCTCTTCTCTTCTCTTCTCTTCTCTTCTCTTCTTTTCTTTTCTTCTCTCTTCTTCTCTCTTCTTCTCTCTTCTTCTCTTTTTTCTTTTCTTTTCTTTTTTCTTTTCTTTTCTTTTTTCTTTTTTTTTTTTCCTCATAGCTGAAGTTTCCCAATTGGCAGACTTTTACCAACACCATAGTAAGAGAGCCCAGGGGGTTCTAGAAAGCTGTTCTGATATCAGTGCTGCTGTTGTTTTGTGGGGGTGGCTGAAAAAGAGCTAAGGTTTGCAAGGAGTTGTTTACTTTTGAGAGTTTGTTCTTTTTTCCTTCCTGTGATTACCACAGTCAGAAAGAGAACATGCAGAGGGAGTGCAGCCTGCTCTGCAATTCCAAACAGGTATGCACTGGACCTTGGGTCAGAAAAAACTGTGATTTAAAGCAGCTAAACATCTGGTTCTTCATGCTTGTTGAGCAAGATCTGTACCCTTTTCCTACTCTGTGCTCTGACCTGACTTTGCTAAGCAACTGCAGTGTGCCCTTCCTCCATCACCCCACATCTCCCCTTAGCTTGGATTTCCGGTCTCACCTATTTTTCTCTTCCCTTTTTGACTCTCAATAGTTTTGTGTGTTTTTATATTTGAAAAAATTGTATCGGTTTAACTCAGGAACAAAATGACCACACTTATGTGCAACTCAGGGAGGTCAACCAAAAAGTCTGGATGCAAATAAGAGCTTAATTCAAATCATAGTGGTTAGTGGAATAATTCAGGTGGACCTTCTTCCAGCCAGGAGATTTTGTTTCTTTCCAAAATGTTTCTTGTGGTACATCCTCTTTGCTTGTGTCTTCAGGCAAACCTGTTCTGTCCCAGGGCCAGTTTTTAGCTCACTTCCAGGCCATTTCACACATTCTTACTTTTGTTGAAATCCATCTTTTACAGCATCTATCCAAAATACCCACACAGACTAATGTTGTTTTCAAGGGACTAGCAATAAAAGCTCACCCCTGGCCTCCTGAAGCCTGTCAGAATGGAAAGGGCAGGAAGGGAAATAGCCTTTCATTCCATCTCTTCAGAGCTGGGAGATTCTCAAAAGATTCCAGCGCTGTTTCATTCATTTGATCAAAAATAAACCTGGTGTCAAAGTTGCTAAGGGAGTAAATGTTTTACAAGAAAACCTAAATAAGTTTATTTTTTTTATCAGCTAGAAAAAATAAATATCTACATCTCAAAGTGGCAAAGAATTAATTACCCAAATAGCTGTTTTCACAGTCATTTCAGGGAGAGTGTGTGCCTTCATGGGACAGCTGGTAGCATCCTGTGACATCACGTGATACATGATGGCCAACTAAATGATCTGCAGCCTGTTAAAGGATTAAAGAGTATCAGACATCAACCACGTGCCATGAATTCATGGCAGCTGCCCCTTTACCTGCACTTCAAATTGCTCTAATAATCACATTCTTTGCCGTTGCATTCCTCATCTTTGTCATGCAGCTGAAGTCAAATCTACAGGGCAGAATCTCACTGAATTCTTCATCATCTTCAATTAAATGTAGGTGCTGCTATTTACAAACCCCTTGGGCCTTGTCAGCTTTTAACCATTTCAAACACTTCCAATAGCAGAAAGAGCTATTTCATCTGCTCCTCAACAATAGAAAGAGCTAATTTAACACTTCTCTTTCTTTCTCTGCAGGAAACACGCTCTTGACTCCAGGATGGTACCTTTTGATTTGTTTGTAGCTGCTGAAGCTAAGAAATCGTTTAGGGCCTGCAGCAACATCAACCTTGCTTGTCACTCTCTGAAGCCTTGCTATTCCCTCCTTTTTTTTTCCTGCCTATATGCATTTAGAGAAAAAACGCTACTGCTGCTTTTGCTTTATTTCTTTGGCTAATCTCTTTTTACTGCCCTGAACACAGGGCCGTGCTTCGCAATGCTGCCAGGATTCCTGGGGAGGGAGTGGGTGCACAGTCTTTGTAAGCGCACCAGGCAATGGAAAATACCTCCTTACTGCCATGAAACACTTGATGGTGTAGGAAGCTACTCAGAGAGGCCTTCTCCCCAGTTTTCACACACACACAAAAAAAAGGAGGAATAAAAGAGGGGAGATTTACGCTGAATATATGGAAAAAGTTTTTTACAGTCCAGATGGTGGGGGACGTGCACAGGCTGCCCACATAAATGGTGGATACCCCATCTTCCAAGGTCAAGGTGCTCTGAGCACCCTGATCCAGCTATGAATGTCCCTGTTCATTGCAGGGGAGTTGGACCACATGGCCCTTCTAACTCAAATGATTCTATGTCTGTATGGGTACATAAGTGTGTAGTGTTCAGGGTCTACCATATGATTGCCAGAGTTATCCCCTCCTCTTTTTAAAGAAATGTAGGTTCCCATCAAGGAGTCCTAAGTCTCAGTCTGCATTGCAGGTGTTTGTGCTATCTTTTATTGATGGCATTTAACAAGCACTCCTCCATGCAATTCCCGCACTCTCAGACACTTTGAATTCTACCAAATTTTAACCTTCAAGTTAACAGTTTTCTGTGTTACCTGTCTGCCTCAGGCCGATGTCTTAACTTCAAGCGATTCAGTCTTCCTTCATAAAGAGTCTGGGGAAAACACGCTGTTTTGCTCATTGTGACAAAATTCTGGTACCCTTTCAAAAGGGAACAATGCTTAGAGCAGGAGCTTGAAATCTGGCACGGAGGCAGTCTTTTCTGTCAACTGTTCTTTTTGCTGTCATTGCCACCGACAACTGTCATCTGGGCAAAGTATCAGTCTTTGAAGAGAATCAGTTCACACAGGTTTATTTCCAGTCCTTCCGGTTATAACAGTTACATTCCCTGAAGAATCATAAAATCTTTAAGGTTGGAAAAAACCACTAACATCATCTGGTCCAACCGTCAATCCCTCATAACTATGCCCACTAAGCATGTCCCTCAATGCTGTAAAGGCACAGAGTCGATGCTCTGTGCAAAGCTTATTCTGACAGCTCAGCTTGCTATGGGCAGTGCATGGCCCAGACTCTCATGACAGCCAGAAGAGATTGTTGGCACTGGTTTCTGAGTGCCCCACCACCTTAACCACAGGAGCAAGATGGTGGAGAAACCTTCTCTACCTAATAATAGGGAAAAATTCCTCAGGAGAGGGGGCCTGGCAAGAAGTTGTGGATAAAGGATGACTGGGAAATGGAGAGGGGAAATGGAAATGCTATAAATAGAAGAGCGATGCTGGTTGATTGAGGATTCTCTAATGGGAGGCCAGGGAGGTGCCACCAGCAAGTACACCTATAGTTTCATGGAGCCAAGATAGGGGAGTTGTGTAGCAATGAACCAGGGACAAAGAGTTGATCTGAATTGTGATGAGGTTCAGGTTTGTGCCACTGAATTCCCAGGAGATGCTTAGCTGGTAGTTGAGTTTTGGGGATCACTTGTGGAAGGCTCCTCCTCATGCTTTGCTTGTCTGGATCACGCTACAGCACTATTTGACTCTACTTGATGGCAGTGTGCAAAGCTCAGGAGTGCTCTCAGCCTTTTCCAGCTGTGCCTTTCTTGATTCCCTCCTGCATCAGAGAGACTACATTTCCTCACCTGAAAATTGAGTTGTGGGGCTCAGTTGCCCCTGAGAAGAGCATGGCATAGAGATCAGGGGTCTCAAAATCCTTCCAGTGCCAGAGCAGGCAGCATATAAGGCCTGAAAGCTCACAATTAATAATGAAAAGGTCCTGCATAAGACCTGTCATTCAGTGAGTCCTTCCATCCTATGCATTCAATGAAATCAGATCCCACAGGGAAAAAACATCCAGCAATCACTTAATTAAGGACTGTCACAATACAAGCACAAAAGAGGGCAGAGCAGAGTATTCACTTCACCCTCCTGGGGTTTCCTACGCCTTTTACTGTTTGATTTAGCTACTTTTTTCTTTACTCAGCTTCAGCCTGTGGTGTTGCACAGAGCGCCACTGGAGAGTGGCTAGCGATGCGGATAAGAACTCTTTGCGCTATGAACAAAGCTGAAAATTCTCATCGACTCTGATGGAAAGATTCTGACTAGAGCAGGAGGCATTTTATTACCCAATTATGTAGTAACTTACTGAGAGGCAGTAATAAGATGTTATGTAAATATGTATATCTGGTGAGTGTATGCGTGTTTGTAAATGTGTGTATGTACATGTGTGTTTCTTGAATGAAACTGCTTGAAGTTTACTGGGTTAAAAAATAAATTCTACTGTTAAACTGCTTGTTTTACTGAAAGTAGGAGCAAAAGAACACAAAACCAGCCACACTGGACCAACCCCAAACATATCTGCTGTTCAGCACTTTGTAACTTCGTATGGGAGATGGCTCTGGGAAAGCTTGTAAGTGTGACCATGAAAGTCTGACTCAGTCCCTGTTGAGATCAACAAGAAAACAGGAAAATGCCCATTGTCTTTGGCAGAACCAGAGGCTGGTATATAGGTGCATGATGGAAAAAAACTTCTCATACCTACTTACTGAACAGAACCACAGCCGTTGGCCCATTGATGTTGCCCTGGGGGTTATGCAAGTGCAAACTGGCATTAGCACAGTGTTCCAAGACTTAATATCATTCCAGGCAATTTACTGCTCTCCAGTACTAAAGCTGCTGTCTGTACAAAAACAACAGTACACAGTGGCACATCTTTTATTTTCTGTATGCTTAACTGAGCTACCTTAGCAATGTTGCTTTCATAACATTAAATCTCTATGTTACAGCAAACAACAGCACTGAAAGAGCTATGAAAATTAGTTCCTTCTCTTCTGGGAAACAACATCTTCTAAGCCCTTGTATGACCTGTTGCAGCACTCAACACTAGCCCAGGAAATGTTTTATCATACTGTAACGCAATAACCGATTCTTGCTCAGTGTAAGTATTTACAAGAAGAAAAAAAAAATGTTGTACCTTGGTTTTCCAAGAAGGAGGGATGTCAAACCAGGAGACAAGCCCCAGTCCCACTTCTCTCAGTGCACTGTCCTGGCCACTGGGTCCTGGTTGGGCTCTTTCACATTTGCTCTCCTCCTGACTCCACAACTTTTGCACTCCTGTCAGCACGACACAAACTGAAAAGCAATTACTCTATAGAGGTCCCTTCCATCCCCAAAACCATTCCTCCCTCAAATCAGAGTTGTGCATCCCATCTTTCTCCAGACAAAAGTGAAGGACTCACATCCTGGTGAACAGCTGTAAACAGCAGGTCTAAGGTGCAGCCATGGCTTTCTGCCTACGGTCTGTAGCAGTGGTGATTGCCTCACCTTTAACACTGGTATTGACAGACAGCTTCAGCAATAGTTCCTGCTTCAGCCTCTGAGACAGGTCATGTGCCATGTTGATATGTTTGAGTAGGCTTCCCACTTTATGCAGGGGATTTGGGTCTGTAAATGCACCTAGCTCTTCCCACAGAATTTACAGGGAAATTAAATCCCTAATTCAGACAGGCCCCATCTTCCAGATCCATGATGTTTTTCTTGTAGTGAGGGGCCCAGAAATGAACACAGCACTCAAGGTGCAGCCTCACCAGAGCTGAGTACAGAGGGATGGTCACCTCCCTGCTCCTGCTGGCTGCACTATTGCTGATGCAAGCCAGGATGCCACTGGTCTTCTTGGCCACCTGGGCACACTGCTGGCTCACGTTCAGCTGGCTGTCTACTAATACCTCCAGAACCTTTTCCTCCATATAGCTTTCCAGCTGCCTCATGTCTATAGTGATGCATGGGGTTGCTGTGACCAAAGTGCAGGACCCAGACTTAGTCATGTTGAAGTTCACACAATTGGCCTCAGTCCATTGATCCAGCGTGCCCAGATCCCTCTGCAGGGCCTTCCTATCCTCAGGAAGATCAACACTTCCTTCCAACTTGATAGTTGTCTTCTTAGAAGTCTGTCTTCACCATGCAGCCTGGCAAGTAAAGCAAAAAAAGAAGTATGGCTTTTCATTCCAGCTAACCAGACAGCTACCCCTGAATGACACAAAAAGAAAGAGAACCAAAAAAAGTAAGAAAAAAAGATAATAAGATGAAGAAGGCTTAATTAAAAGATAAACACAAATGAAATCAAAACAATCAATGGTAGTGCAACCCTAATTTAATTTTATTGTCAGCAGAGCTGATGTTGTTTTTCCCTTCCTCCCAAACTGAGAAGCTCTGGAGAAGAAATTTCCCTCATCGAGTTTCACATTCTATTCAGTTAGCTTGTGAACTTTATTATTATTATTATTATTATTATTATTATTATTATTTGAAAGAAGGATATAGAAAAAAAAAAAAAAGAAAAAAAAAAAAAGAAACTTGAAAGGAACCTCTTTAATTCCAGCCAAGGCCCTTAAACCAACCCACATTCTATCAGACTGTTCAGGGAACTGAGGGTGTTGGCGCTAATCATCTGTCCCTGTTTTCTGAGGATAAATTCCCCATGTGTCTCAGAGTTGGGGAGAGCAGGCTCTGGAGTCCTCCAAGGAATTCGATTGTAATTCTAATGTGATGGCATCAGCTAGTTAGCAGCTCTAAGAAATCTCACCTTCAGCCCCTCTCCAGATTTTTTCTCCAATTATGGCTAAGGGTGAAGCCCTCAGAAGGGAGGTGAGGAGGGGGGAAGTTGTCCATGGGTGTTGAAGGTTAAACAGCTGCAAAGAATAAAAATGACTGAGGTATTCAGTGGCACTCTTTGTTTAATTCTGACCAAAGCGCATTAGCATCCTGCAAATAGGGACAAGTTAATGAGGGAGATACTAAGCAAAGTACCAAAACCTCTTCTCTGGCTCCTTGCATGGAAGTAAATTTTACCAGTGTCAATGCAAGAATATTACCAGTCTCTGGATATGATTGCACCTTTTCATATATGTGTGTGAATATAAACATACATTTTTCATGAGGTTCTGCTTTAAAATTCTTAACTACAGAGGTTCTTTTGCTGCACTCTTTTCTCATACATATCATGCAGAGCAGTAAACACTTTTTACCACAAAAAAGAATAACCACTTGTGCACCAAAGGCAGAGAACAATTTAGTTGCTGCTATCCTCAAAAGAGTTTTCTGTTGTGCCCAGAAAGTTTTGATGTGCTTTACATGCCTCTGTGGCACTGAAACACTCTCCCACTGAAACAAATGTAGTCCGTTTTTCATGGAAAACAAAGTTCTTCCCAACTGCCATAAAACAGGACTGCCTTATAAACGCCATAAAATTGCACAGAGTTTTACAAATGCCATAAACGTGGCCATGCAAAGAGTGAAAATTATTTCAAGTGTGGTTGCATCTCTCCCCGGTAACTGTGAGATCCCTGTCAAAGTACAAAGCTTTGGAACAGCCATATCGCTTTAAAAAGCAATATAAAGCTCAGTTGATGACATCAACAAATGCTCAGTGCTGACACTTAAAAGAGCAGCTGTAAAAAATAGCACTCCCTGATAAAAAGCACAACATCAGCCATAGACTTTATGCAAAATATGTACCTACTATACAAACATACTGGGCTGCAAAATATAGCTAATAAAATAAGTGATTTGCCTGCCTTCTGCTTCCAGAATCACTCACAGTCCGCAGTTGGCATCATTCCCTAGGGGTGAGTATTTCTTAGCAGCAAAGAAGAAACTCTTGATGATTTTTTTCTTTTGTTGGCAGTGAAGAGCCACCCCTGAAAATCTGACTTTAACTCACTAGGATCATTACAAGCTCCCAGTGCAAAAAAAATTTAAAAGCAGGTGCTAAATACAACAAATAACTTACCTCTCCCAGAGATAGCACCTATTCCTTCAGCTCGGAAATATCACTGGCATGCCTATGTTTCTATACAGAGTGGATCACAGGGCACCAGTCATGCTAAATGTCGCCTTGCAGTAAAATGGCACATGGTGATTGTTCCATCATTGTAGACATCCAAGGTCAGGCTGGAGGGTCTCTGTGCACCCTGATCTAGATGTAGGTGTCACTATTCATTGCAGGTGAGTTGGACTTGATGGCCTTTAAGGGTCCCTTCCAACTCAAACGATTCTATGATACTATGATGAGAGTCAAGATACATCTAGTTAGGGCCAATGCAGAGAAATAATCTGGTGAGTCACCAAACAGTTTCAACACAGAGGCCACTATTGAACTATATTCCTAGAAGCTGTATCTAAGCAAAGACATCTCCTTTTTTCAAATGGCCTCAGGTAGTTTCCTAGACAGTGCTGGCACACCTGTGTCATTCATACATGCTTTCATACTCACTTCTTGCATGTACTTGAAGTGAATAAAACCTCTCCCTTGCACATGCTATCAATTTTGAGATCTATGTGACAATAAAAATCACTTTGAAAAAAGCCTCCCGATTTCTCTGCTGGTAATGGTGATCTTTGCTGCCTAAATACAGCTCAAGAAGAAATCTTTCCAGGGGTGTTTAGACCACAGTAACTTCTTAACAGAAAACAGAGGCCTTTTTCCTTGGCTGATCCCCAAAGGACCTTATTTTTCAGGGATGTCAAACTACTTTGCATGTACAATACAGAGAACTGGCTGTACTCCCAACTATTAACTTCTTATTATCTGGTTTGCATTCGCTTTCATGGGAAGCCATCCTTCTTTTAAGGGAAGCCATACTCCTGTTAAGGGAAGCCTCTTATCAGAGGCACACTTCAGTCGAGGACTGCATTTCATGGGCAGCTTGGCAAGAGTTTCCTCCCACCAGCTCCTTCCTACAATCTGGTAGTTCACATTTCATCAATGAAGTCAACCAGCTACTCGAAGTTAGATGTGTTTTTAACTATTTAAATGTTGGATTCTACTCCTGGTGATCCAGCAGCCCTGTGGAGAAAGACTTGGGGGTCCTGGTAGACAAGAAGCTGGACATGAGCCAGCAGAGTGAGTTTGCAGCCCAGAAGGCCAACTGTGTTCTGGGCTGCACTGGAAGAGGGGTGGCAGCAGGGAGAGGGAGGTGGTTGTCCCCCTCTTCTCTGTACTCATGAGATCCCATCTGGACTACTGCATCCAGGCCTAGGGACCCTGGTACAATAAAGATGAGGAGCTACTTCAAGTGAGTCCAGAGGAGTGCCACAAAGAAGATCAGAGGGCTGGAGCACCTCTCCTATGAAGAAAGGTTGAGGGAGTTGGGTTTGTTTACCTTGGCGAGGGAAAGGCTCAGAGACCTCATTTAGCCTTCCAGTACTTTAGGGGAGCTCATATGCAGAAGGGAGATTGACTTTTTACACAGTCTAATAGTGGTAAGGCAAGGGGGAATGACTTTAAACTAGAATAGGGGAGATTTAGGTTAGATGTGTAGTGGTTTAACCTGGTAAACAGCTAAACACCACAGTCCTTCACTCACTCATATCCTCTCAACAGGATGGGGAAAAGAACTGGAAAAAGAAAATTACAACTCATAGATAGAAATAACGCCAATTTACAAAGACAGAAAAAGAAGGGAGAAATAAAAATAATTACATATGAATTTACATACATATATTTACAAACTAGTGATGCTCAAAACAATTGCTCACCACCAGTAACCCAGCCAGTCCACATGAAATGGCAGCCACCTCCACCCATCACCAACTCCCCTCAGTTTTACAGTTTTTTTTCAAATGATGTCATATGCTATTGAATATTTCTTTAGCCATTTTAGGTCAGCTGTCTTGGTTTTGCGCCTTCCCAGCTCCTTGTGCCCCCTCAGCCTCCCTCACTGGCAGGACAGCATGAGAAGCTGAGAACTGAAAAATCCTTGGCTCTGTACAGCACTGCTAACCAACAACAGAAACATTGGTTTGTTATCAACGTTGTTTTTCCTCTAAAACCAAAATATAAGCATCATACCTGACATTAAGAAAAAAATCAACTCTAGCCCAGCTGAAACCAGGACAAGATGTTAACCAGAAATTCTTTAATCAGAGGGCAGTGAGGCACTGGCACAGCTGCCCAGAGAAGCTGTGGTGCCCCATCCCTGGAGGTGCTTAAGGCCAGGTTGGATGGGGCCCTGGGCAGCCTGAGCTGGTGAGTGGCAGCCCTGCCTATGGCAGGGAATTGGACTGAGTGGGCTTTAAGTTCTCTTCCAACCCAAGCCATTATATAATTCTACGATCCCTGAAAATGGCAGTATTCCCAAAGCACCCGGGCTCCGCAGAGCGACACCAACGCTCATCCCTCTGCGCCTTCTTACACACAGCACTGCCTCAGCTCAGCTTTTCTCCACAGAGAGCTGCCTCACCAAAGAAAATAATCAAAGTACCCAAAGTCCACTGGAGTGCTTTCAGGGCTTTCTACAAAGCTTCCTGCAAACCTCCAATTTCCCTGCTGTAAATATAACTCTGACATTTTAGGTGGAGTCCCCTGGGAGTACTGTGGAGTCAACGCAGAACTAAAGGACAACAAAGCGAGTTTATGGCTTGGCAAATCTCAGCAAAAGAAAAGCAACGTTCTTCCTGGCTGGTCCTTCTCTTTTCTCAGCCAGACTCCATTTCGTCCACTTGGGGGTTTCTTTGTTGGCTGTTTTTTATTATTTTCCTATCCTTGTTTTAAAATGCCGATGCATTGACAGATGTTTCCCATATATTTCCACTCTATGGTGCTTTAAATCTTGCTGCTGTAGCAGCTACAAGTCCTTTCAAGGGATTATTGCCTTCATTCTTACACCTGGGTCATCTGGATATCTGAAGGGAGAAAGCAACATTCTCTGCTGGCTCTGTGATTAAAATGATTTATCTTGCCACATCTCACAGTATCACACTGAGCACAATGCCACCAGTCTTCCTGAACACAGGCTCCTGCACGAGACTGCGCTAATGGTTTTTTTTCCCCCGAGCAGGAATGATTTCAAAACCCCAGTGTTTTGTTCTTTGGCTACAGAAATACCTGGTGCTCAAAGCCAAATTCAGATGGAAGCAATACATTAGGTGGGAACCTCATTAAAACTCAAAGCAACCTTGTGTATTAGTCAGATAATGTAAAGCCAGCATCCAGAATGACAAAGGCAGGAGTATGTTCATTAACTGAAGGCATCACAGCTGCCTTTCTGCTGCTGAGCTCTGCAGTAGCATGCAGTTCTCACATCCAGAAACATCTCTCAGAATCAATGCTACTTTGGTAGTATTGTTTAATCTAAGCATTACCTCATTTATCTTACTATAGACTGAAATTTTATCTTTCTTTTTACATCACTTTTTTTTTTCTCCTTTACAACAAAATTCACATTTAAAAGAAATGCTCTAAGCAGTAGTTGCACTGCCCAACACAGTGGCAATGCTCACAAAATACCATGGAGAAATAAAATAAATCCAAGGTTTACTGAATGGTGGAGTTCAGTATTTTACCATGTGTTGCCCTGTATCTTCAATTTCCAGTTTATATAGAGTCCATTCAGCCTTGTATTTGACTCTGAGTGGAAGAAGAATGCATTACACGTGTCAACTCATAATACAGCCTGGCCCTATCCTGATCCTCTCTCTTAAAAGATGCTGTTCCTAAATATCTCAGCTGGTGAGGCAAAGCAGATTGATGGCCATTGGGGGAGGTTGGTGCAGCCCCACACTCTGAGCACTGCTGTTCCATTATGTAAATCCTAAAAGCCCTTGCTTTTTGACTCCGAGACAGGTGTGTGGCAGCACCACTTACAATCTTTTTTCCCTTTTTCTCTTCTATTTTTTTCCCAGTTCCCAGAAGTGAAAACAGTAGATACAAAGGCCAGAGCTGGATGACTTGCTGCCCCACTGCTCCTGCCTCTGACAGCGCCAGCGCACCCTGCCAATTAGGGGAAACAGAACTCTTCAACAGCAAACTGCTCATTGCACAAGCTTTCCTACATGGGACCAGATCTCTCTCAGCCCAGACTGGAAATAGGTATCCAACCAACCAGGCAGACCAGCTGCCTTTGCATTTTCTTTATCAGCCACCTGCTGTATGACCCCAGTCCTGTACTGTGCACTTGTGATGGGAGCAAAGAGATCTCCTTGTTATCTGTACAAGACAATCGAGTCATTTAGCAGCAATTAGGCTCCCTACCAACTTAAGTCATTTACAATTATACAATGGCTCCTAACAGCTCCAGAGTCCCAAGACACTATTTGAGAGAGGTCATAAACCAGGCAGGGGTGTTGGCAGAGCTGAAAAGGAGCATGAAGCTAAATATGGAAAAATGAGGTGGCCCATAAGGTTTAACCCTGAAGTGCCTCAGTGAGAACCACTCTTCTACCATTCAAACACTCATTCAGCCCCTTTCCAGAGTGAAGATAATAGTCAGCTGACTCACTTTATATTTCTGTGTCTGTGTAAAAGCATAAAGATGAAAGAAACTTTTTTTTTATTTCCTAGGAAGCAGAACTGTACAGTGCATTCTAAGCATTTTATTTTTTTATGTGTGATGCTCCTTGTATGCATTTATCTAGTTGCTTTTTATCAAGACACTGGGACTCCTGGAGGTGCTGTGGCTGGCACTTAACCTCACGTACCAGGTAAAACTTCAGGCCCTTCAACAGACCTTGCAAAGGCATGGACTCCATTTTAGGCTCTCTAAACCTTCCACGGAGAGTGCAGAGGGAGATCATTTTCATAGGCTAAACTGGCCCATGCAAACTGTTTCCTTGGAAATCCAACACGAAGAGCCTTGCAAATGAGAGGTTTTGATATCTGTGTTCACATCCATAACACTTCTTGTTTTCTGTTTGCCAGTGTGCTATTTTCTGTTGCTAGCACTTGCTACACTGGGAATCAAAGCCCCACAAGCCATTACAAGAACATTGCTAGCCTGACCAGTTTGGCCAGTCTCCATCTGCAGGTCCCAACATGCACAGCAATAAGAGCTATTGCTGAGCTGGTGAGGCCTGATCTTGTGTGCTATCAACCATTCACCTGTCCACGATGTCCTAAAGGATAGCAAGGATGCAGATAAAATGCTGCAACCAATTGTTATATTGCTTGAGATAGTGCTAAATTTGGTCTCTAAATGTTTGCCTCCAGTGCATGAGCCATCCTACACGTGATGCTTCCGCTCAGCTGCTGGTAAAGCTGGAGGAAATTTTTTGGCTCAGTTGCCTCATGCAGCAGTGCTTAGAGAGCAGAACAATCCTCTCAAGGGAATGAGGCTACCTGAAGGTCTCAGGGAGACAAAGCAGAGATCAGCAGATGAATTCTCTTCTCCCAGTGGCAATATTTCTTCAGATACACCATTAACTGGGGCCTGTCTGGGAGCACAGCCTTCATTTTCTGTAAGTAGTTGAGACTGCCAAGGTTAATGAAGTTAAAAAGTGTCAAGGACCAAGCAGTGCTGAAGTTCTTGAGTTGAACATATCATTGCTATCTCCATTCTGCTAGCAGAATGCTAGAAATGCTCCCTGAAGAAATTGAGTCCATTTTATTGAGAGAAAGTACGCTCTGTTTATTAGCACATCTCACACCTTCTAATCATTTCTTCTTTAAAAAATAATTACGAAATGAAGCACAGGGCAAAGTTATCTTCTTATCCAGTGAGCAACCTTACAACTTATCACCTGTTGTCATCATTAGGGCAAGGTTCAAGCAGGATGATAAGTAATGCAGCTCAGAGGCAGAACTGACAACAGCTGTGGGTTTGTATATGGTATATGTCTCAGTGCTTTGGGCCAGCACCACTCAGCAGAAAGGACCTGGACTTTTGGGCCAGTCCTGTGACACATGCTTTGTGTTGTTTCTGAGACCTAGATTCTGTTTGCTTTCATTCTTCTGATCCTTAAACCCATAAGCAAAAGAGGCACAGGAATACAGGCTCAAATGCTCAAGGACAGAGCAGGTTATTTTCTACTTTGGTACAGTGAAGACATATAGCGAAGTCATTGCCCAACTTAGAATGGCCTGTAGCTGTAGTTTCTAGAAATTACTACTTGCTAGAAGTGACATAAACTGCAACATAAGCAATATACACGTAAGCTTGGAGAGGCATTAGGTGCCAGTAAAAACAGAGCCCAGTCCTACTTGCACCACACTTTTAATGGTGTCCATTAGCATTGTCCACGAGTGTTGTGTTTGACATAGAAAGTAGATTCTCTTCACACAGGGCTGCAGAGGCAGAACAAGCAGACATTTGGATTCATTTCCTTTGCACTGACCTTTTCAACAGTCGTACCACTATCCTGCTAAATAATGTGATCTTTAGAAAGGGTACATTAAAAGTAATAGATCTGAACAAACCATGGTCTCAAAAATACAAGTTGAGAGCTGAGAATAGTACTGGGCTTTCATTACTGGTACCATGTCAGTAGGGGATTTTTTGTTTGTCATAGGAATCTGCCAGGAAACATATTTAAATGCTGAACTTCTGAACTTCTCCTTTCACCTGTATTTGAACCCTGCTAAATGATTTTACAACTATTATTGCTTTATAACCCATGACTGTAAATTCTTCCATTAGATTTTATTACTTAAGGATAAAAATGTGTGCCTGGGGTTTGTATTTATATTTAATAATATGTATATGCGCTCCCACAAAGTGGCTGAGAGATAAGATAGAAGGGATGAACGGCTATTTGTATGTGAGGACAGTGACGTCCCTCACTGGGAGTCCATTTCGGACTGCAGTGTGGAGATCCGACAAACCGAACCTGTAGTCACCTCGCCAAATGGCCCCCAGAAGCCAGAAAACCTTGGTAGAAGAAGGAAAAAACAGTTTGGCCAGGCTCAAGTAACAAGAAAATGGTGAAATTGTTTCAAATTAAAAGGACTGAGATTTAGACTGGATGTAAGGAAGATGGTTTTTACAATAAGGACGGTGAGGCACTGGCACAGGTTGCCCAAAGAGTGGTGGTGCCTGGAGGCATCCAAGGTCAGGATGGAGGGACTCTGAGCACTCTGATCGAGTTGTAGGTGTCCCTGTTCATTGCAGGGGAGTTGGATCCAATGGCCTTCAAGGATCCCTTCCAGCTCAAAAAATTCTACGAAAATTGTAAATTTGCCCCTATAAAAATTTTGCAACATTTAAAACTACCACTTAAAACACAAGACTCTTTTGATTTTGTTCTCTTTTCTGAGGCTGCAGGACTAATGATTTTAAGCTTCCCTCCATTATCTAAAGAGCTAGATTTCATTTTTAACAAACCCTGAATTATGGAATAATAGCAAGACTCTAAAAGCTTTTCTCTCTCTGACAGGAAAAAAAAAAGCCAACAAACTAACAATCATTGTAAAACAGCTGACAAAAATGATTGGAATGGATACCATTGGTCCTCAATATGCCCATTTCTACTATATGAACCCTGTCTCTCATGTGATGAACTTTAAAAGGATAAA